CCAGCGGTGGCATTCCATTGTCAGAGGTGGCTCGTCACAACAAGCCTCATGATTGCTGGATAGCCATCAACAAGAATGTCTATGACCTCACGGATTTCCTGATCCATCATCCAGAACAGCGCAATTCCATCCTCGCTTGGGCTGGCAGAGATGCGACTGCGATGTGGGACAAGATCCCTGGACGTTTCCCTAGCAAGCAGTGGATGGATTTCTTCATGCGAAGCGAATGGAAGATGGGCGATGTCGGTGCTGAGCCAAAAAGGGACGCTGTCTACGAGCAACTGAAGCAGCTGCATGATGAGTTGCGCAGGCTTGAGGGCCCCTCCAAGGAGGACATTGAAGCAGCAAAGACAGCAGTGAAGGTCCCAGGTAAGACAGATGCGCCAACCCTCTCTGAGGAGGCTCGCTTTCCAAAGCTTGCAGAAATCTCAGCTGGGAAGGAGCTTCCTTTCTTCACTCGTGCAGAAGTTGCGAAGCACACCACCGCCGATGAGCCGTACATGATCATCCACAACCGTGTTTACAACTTGAAGCCTTTGATCGGAAGCCATCCAGGAGGTGACGACATTTTGTTGAACAAAGCTGGTACAGATGCAACCAAGGACTTTGAGGTCTTCGAGCATTCGGAGAAGGCTCGGGTGCAGCGTGACCGGGACATGTTGGTTGGTCAATTGGTGCCAGGAGAGAACACCGACTGGTCAGCGGAGGCCACAGTTGCTCAGGTGGTTGGCGAGGAGACATCTGAGGTGGGCCGATACATGAAGTACAAGGCCACAGATATTGCGGTCGGGGCTGTAGCATGGTATCTCTACAAGACCTTGCAAAACACCAAGCCTTTGTCACAGTTCACCTACAGCCGAGCATTGCGACACTTACATCTCATCATGGCCGTGGGAATCTTTGGAGCAGTTGGAACAGCTCAGGCCGCCTCCTACTCAGAAGGGCAGACCAGGAAACAGATGCTGTGGTGGCACAAGCAGACCGGCCTTGCGATGCTCTTTGCCCTTGTTGTGCGCTTCTTCCTTCGTATGCAGAGCGGCATTCCTCCCCGCTTCCCAGGAAATCCCATGGTCCAAATGCTGGAGACACAGAGCCTTCGTGCCTTCTATGTCCTTGCTCTCTTGTTGCCTGTGTCCGGCATTGCCAACGAATACTTCTTGAAGTGGGCTCCGGGCTCTGACAAGACTGGAAATGCGGAAGATGACAAGAGGAATGACAGGCTGGCGAAGCAGTCCATTGACGCCCACAAGTTGCTGGGCAAGTTCTTGCAATTCGCTTGGCTTCCCTTCCACCTTGGCTACACCACCTTCTACCATTGGACTCAGGGTCGAGGTGTGGTCAAGAAGGTATCGCCATTCATTTGAAGGCCTCAAGAAAAGCTCACTTGTTTTCCATGTGACAGAAGAGCTAGTAGTGCAGAGCTGTAATTCTTGCAGTTTCAAGCGAAGTCAAGCAACATTTCGCATTGTGCATGCAAACGAAGCTCGCAAATGGTATATGTGTACATTTTTGAACCGACAGAGTTCATTGAATTGTTCCCCAGCTTAGATTCGTCACTTGCGCCCATGTGGGCAGCAGACGAACAGAGTTTTGTGCAAGACGAGTGGGATGCATTTAAGGGTGGTACTTGCTCGATCTCACATTGTATAGTTTCTGCTCCGATTTGACTCCAAGTTTCTTGAAAGAAAGGCCCACTGTCTTAAAGAGTTTGAACCGCGATCAACCTCAACACGAGTGTCCTTGTCAAAGTTGCAAAGCAGAGGAGTCTAGTTTTTGTGAAGGGTGAAAGGGTCGTGAGTTAAGCCTGTGTGAATGGTCTTGATTTGAACAAGGCCATTCAACATGGTACCGTATATGATATAAGTTACAGGATCAGATAACCACGACATCGATCGGAAAGGACAAGCAACGAGCCGAAGTGCAAGAGTTGGTGAGATTCACCAGCTTGAAGCACATAGAGCAGCTTGTCGGTACTTGTGATTGATGAACTTTAGTCTGGCTTGTAATCAGATTGAAGCTTGCGCGCATACCTTTCAATTGGACCATTTCCAAGACATTCTGGGTTTGATCTGAGCATCATCTCCTACCCTTTTTGCTTGGCTCAAGAGACTGCTAAGTCCTGAGAGCAACCCGGTTTCATAGAGCTGGAGAGCTGAACAATGGCAAAGGATGGCTATGAGAAGCCAGCAGCAACTGGCCTTGCTGCCGGATTGAACAAGGGTTTCATTGTGACCCGAAGGCCATTGAAGACTAAGCCTTCCTACCGCAAGGGCAAGCGGGGAGGCAAAGTGGGCCTGATTCGTGAGGTAGTCCGTGAGGTTGTGGGCTTTGCGCCATATGAGAGGCGAATGATTGAGCTGCTCAAGATTGGCTCCGCCGCCACTTTCAAGCGTGCCCTGAAGTTAGCCAAGAAAAGGCTTGGAACTCACCGCCGTGGAAAGAAGAAGCGCGACGAAATGACTGAGGCTGTGGCGGCCATGCGCCGCAAGGGCCATTAGCTGCATTAGCTTCGGACTAGTTCAGCCGGCTTGCAATCAGGCGTCAAAATTGTAATGCTCATGGCAATCTTGCACGAGCATGCCCAAGCCAGAAGTTGCGACTGATTCAATCAATTTTTGCTGGCCTGGGTCCTTAAATGCAAGGCTTGAACAACTCGAGTCAAACATGTTAGGTTTGGCGGCCGCGCAGCCAATACATTCTCAACCGGCACTCAAAAGCACAGCGACACTTCTGGTGTGAATGAATAATTTTCGTTCAACCTCAGAACGAACCAACTGCTCTCATCATAGAGATGGCTGTGTGGAATTGACCGCGGTTCCAATCTGCAATTGGTAGGAACCTCAGGATGTGGCAACTGGACTCACTGCGCCAAGTGTGTATATACTCTCTAAGGCTAAAACTATTGGTGATCACATTTGGCCTTCCTGCCTTTGCTCATTGCAGGAGATTTCATCATGTTCCATTCCGAAAGTATTATTTTTTTGGGGGGGGAACTTTGAAACAATTCCGAGCCTGCATGGAGGCAAATATCAAGTCCGTGTGCACAGGACACACGGTATATTCTATTTTGGGTGTATTGCACCTGGCAGTGCTAAAGTATCATTTACACACACACACGCACATCCAAGAAGTCATGTTTTCCAGCGCAAGTCGCAGACTCCCGACGTGTCCAATCTTGCGCATCTCAGGAGGAGGTGGAAGGTTTGCTGCGGAAGACTGTCCTGGGTGCTCCTGCTTTGTTGCACGAGCTGCATGGGCATTCTTAGCTGCACGGGCATTTTCTGAGCGTAAAGAATTTCGGTTGACTTGTGTGGTGTCTGCTACTGGTGCCGCTTTAGCAGCAATCAGTTCCAAGATTTGTGATTTGTGTTCCTCATAAGTCTCCTGCTGGCTAGACTCCAGCCATGGCCCCGAATGATATGCATCCGTCTACCGACCCAGAGGCGGGACTGGCTCTGGGTCAGGGCGTGCTTCAGCTTGTGTGGGAGCAACTTGCATCAGACTGAACGAACTTAGCCGAACTTATGTTTGCTTGTAGATTGCTTTGGCTGAGAGTGCTTGTGGCGAGGGCTTCCACCTCGCACACAAGCCAACGGGTGCTATCTCCAAGAACATTCCTCTCTCGGAGGCACCTGGAGGGAGCTCTTGTGGTCAGCTTCAAGAGGTAGACGGTATTTGTTGCTTTTCGAGCGCGCATAGTGGTGGTGGATAGCCTACGGCCTACGGTTGCAGAACTAACTCTAACTCCTTAGAGTATGGGCATTGAAGAGATGAAGGAATATGAAGGAATAGCTTTGAACGGTCTCAAGTAGGGGACAGCAGTGGCTTGAGCCAAGCTGCAAGGTGAACCGGCACTGCATCCCAGAGGATTGCTGGGTTGCTTTGAATGGAAAGGCTAGACCTTGGTGCTCCGCTGTGTTTTTTCTCGTTTTGCATCCTCATTTTCCAGATGCTTCCTGACACCTTTCCGTTGGAGGTCTACGACCTCTCAGAATTCATGGATCGACATCCGGGCGGCCCTACAACCATTGTGGCGTGGGCTGGAAAGGACGCGTCCAAGTTTTTCAACGAGATCCACAAGGGCGTCAAGACGCTTGGCGCTGAAGCTGTGTACTGTATGCACTCGGAACTTCAAATCTTCCCATGCAGGTCCCTCTTTCTTTTTTTCCACCCTTTTCGGCTGACAACATCTCCCTTTTTTGGTAGAACTTTCAGAAATGTCCAAGTTGTCTTGTGGGCCACAAGGATTGATTCCTACTTGCGCCCAGAGTCTCATTTGGGCAACTTGGGTGTGGACGGCGACCTTATGTCTGATGAATTCTGGCACACCCTTCGAGAGGCAAAGCATTTGGCGGATTCCTTTGACGAAGATCTTAGTCCTATCTAGCCCTTGCTAGTCACAACAAAGCTTTCTCGACCCTCTGCTTTTAATAGGGCTCTTTGCTGCTCTTTGTGACTTCTTGACAGTGACAGGCGCGCATTGTGGAGGTTCGTGAGGAGATCGACCGCGTTCTGAGCGAAACAGCAAAAGATGGTCACAAGGCTGACAGCCTCCCTCGCCTCCTGCAAGACAAGCTACTTGTTTTAGTTGGTTAGAGGGGCAGCAAACAGCTATGCCTGTTTTTCTTGGAATGCACGAGCCAATGTGATGCCGTTGCTTTGGGATCTCTTTGGGGCAAATGGCAACATTCAGAGTTTCAGGAACTTGGACCCTCAGCTGAAGATTAAGCTGCAGCGGTTGGAGACCCAGAAGAGAGCAGCTTTGGACTCGGAGGCTGGCAAAATCTTTGAGCTTAAGTTGTTTCCAGCCAGTCGACCTTTGAGAAACACATGAGCGTTGTGACGCGGTCACACTTGGAAGGACTACACGAAGGCCTTGGATGTGAAGAAGGAGATTGAGAAGATTCTCTCTGACCGGGTCTCTTTGCCTAGTAGTGCTTTCAAGTTGGCCTTGTTTTGATGCTGCGAACCTGAGAGTGATTGTCAATCTGTTAGGCGTGAAGGCTTTGTAGGCCTGTAGGCTACAGATTTTGTGCCAAGGCCCATGCTCATATGCATGACGTGCCGTTGGACATCCCCAACTCCAGCGGTGGCATTCCATTGTCAGAGGTGGCTCGTCACAACAAGCCT